TTTCTGTAAATGATGTGTTTAACCTTTGACAAAGTGAATGCTGCAAATACAAAACATCTTGGAATTAAAGTTTTAAATCTGTATTCCAACCTCATGCTGAAAATAATCAAGGCTTTGAATCATGTTCACTTCTGTTTTAGATTTGATATCTAGTCCTGGAGGGGAGCAGTGTTTCAGACTTCATTGATCTGTATACAGTAAGTTGTTACTTATCTCAAAACTGGAAAACCATTGTCTTCACCTTAGAAAGATGCTGGTGCAATGAGCAGTATTGTGGTATACTAACCAATTAACTCTGCAGTGCTCCAGGGCTAGCATTACCCAGCGTTTTCCCACTGGTAGAAAAGGTTATTGCTGGTTATAATTTACATCACATGGTGAACAGCCATGTGAGGAACATCTTGACATCAGTCATTATTTGTTTCTTATTAAGAAGGGACAGCATGATTGCAGATGACCTCAGAGAAAGCCCCAGTTAGATACAAGCAGCACTGCGGGCAAAGGAAAGTCAGTGAAATACAAAATTGTGCTTGTCTGAACTTTGCACTCTCACCCCTGATGCTACTGAAGCTGTTACATTTAGTGTTTGAAGATAATATCTAGAAGGGCTAAACTACACTTTCTGAAGGAAAATTACATGGATTATTTAATGGTTAGCATTTATGGAAGCTGTGTACTATCCTAAATATTCATTGGAAGTTTCATTTCACACCTCTCTGCACCCATTCTGACTTCACACCTCTTGACTGGCCTCTCTTTCTGTCCCCTGCTCCCACCTCTCACTCCTCCTCCCTCCCAGCCTTTGTTCTCCCGCTACTTTACCTTTGCCTACTGCCCTGTCTCTCTCACACCTGAAGAAGGCTCCACGGCCGAAACGTTGTTTTCTCTTTTCTTTTTTTTCAGCATGGAATAAACCTATTACTTGTTCCTTTGCAGCCTACGCATGCTGACGTAGCTACCCACCTGAACTACTATCCTAAATATTGTCTACAGTATGGCCGAATCGGCCATACTGAAGTGCCTATTTCAACTGATGGTTTACATGAATCTGTAACAGATTATTTATTGGACAATGCGTTGCATACACACAACATCAACCCCAAGAGGGCGCCACAGGCACACATCGAAGGATGAAGATGAACGGAAATATAAATGAATGAAGATCTAGGAATCTTGTTAGGTGTGCTTGTCTTGTCTTGGAATGAGCAAAGACTATCCTCAGTAAAATTATCTATAAAAATGTACAATTGTCTCTTACTGCAGTGCTAAAAAGAGAAAGCAGAACTGCCTACAAGCTGTTAGTTATTGTGAAAAATGGGAGAACGGACATGCCATGTCATCTGTGATCTAGTGAGTCTTTCTACTGAATGCTAAATTTTATTAATGTAATTATAGCAGAAAATGCAGATTATAATATTTAAGAAACTCCCCAGTGCAAATCAGTGAGACAAGACTTTCATTAAGTAGACACCAAGATACAAGAATGTCAGGGTTCAACCACACAAAATAGCATACAAATAAAACTGAATATTTGTCTAAGCCAGATGTCTTTCCAATCTTTCATGTCGTAAAGAGGGGAATTCATTAAGCGGTCGCTTTGTTTTCCATATGAATTTCAAAGCACTGCATGCAGTCTGTTGATCTATCCCAGTAGCCTACGGGCAATCATAAATCAAAAATACTTAAGCAAGGGAGAACATTCATTTTTATTAAGGAGATGTGAGTCTGAAGAGAATAAAAGAAAATTAGTCAATTTGCTCAAATCCTTATCCACCTGTTTGAAGTTGTGTACTGCGATGGTAAATCTCTGAAACAAAGTATTTGAAGTGTTTGATTACAAGCAGGTAAATGTTCTCTCCTGAAGAGTTTAATGACAGCAGTACAGACCAATTCATTTTATATCTTGATAAAGCACCAAAAACTTTGAACATACAGTAGTTAGCAGATGAGGCGAAGAGTGAGAAATATTTTCTAGTACAATATACTCTATCATGTGCATAAAACAATGTTATAATAATATTGACCATTACTGACAAGAGTACGTACAGTATAGAAGCAGCACAATGATGAACAAGCTGAACTGTAGGTTGCAAACACAAGGCAAACAAAGAAGTGAAAACGAGCATCCCTAATGAGTGACCCTAAAAACACCTCGGGAAGAACATACTGTATGTTCCCTGTTAACATCATAGATGAAATGTTAGTGCATTCAATTTTACCCTTTTGATATCACCTCAAGCAGCATGGTGGTTAGCACTGCTACCTTGTGGAGTTTGTACTGTATGTTCTCCCAGATTATATGTGCGTTTCCTCGGGGTGCTCCAGTTTTCTCCCACAATTCAGCTTCTGGGAAAATTGTGCCTAGCTGCGAGTGTGTGTGGGCCTGTATTTGTGTCAATACTGTATGTCTGCCAGAATGTACCCCGCTATTGGGGCACCCTGGGGCGGTGTGGTGGCTTCGTGCCTAAGGATCTGCGCCTGTGGCTGGAAGGTTTGTATCCTGCTGCCGGCAGAGGAATCCTACTCCGTTGGGCCCCTGAGTAAGGCCCTTAACCCCAGCTGCTCCAAGGGTGCTGTATAAATGGCTGACCCTGCACTCTGACCCCCAGCTTCTCTCCCTGTCTGTGTGTCTCATGGAGAGCAAGTTGGGGTATGCAAAAAGACAAATTCCCAATACAAAATATTGTATATGACCAATAAAGTGATCTGATCTCATCTATTGCACCTGTCGCTTGCTGGTAAGAGGCTCCAGCTCCCCCATGAATCTGAACTAGAAAACCTGGTTAGTAGACTGATGGATAGTAATAACCTGTTCTCAGCCCCATATGATCCAGATCTATTCATAGATATTCCCACACAAACTGATCAGAGAGGCTCAGTGGATACTTACGAATGCTTTGCCAATGGTAGCTGTACACACTATTAGTCTATGGTTGTCATTGTAAACCCTCTTGTGATCACTGATTTTAATCAACATAATGCTTTGGTTTGCAGCATTGTGGAGACATGGTAAGGAGTCTCTGAATTGTTAGCCCAAAGTGTGAGTGAAGTACTGCTGATGTGTGCTCGAGGTTACACTTACAAATACAGTATACACCCTCCCGCATGACTGCGTACAGAAGTACAAATTTCCTTTGGTCTTCTGATTAAAAACATCAACCAGATAAATGCACAGTACCTGTGACATGTCTATTCAACAAAATATCGATGCACTTGAAACACAACCATGTGAATTTCGTGAAAAAAGCTTTTGAATTTGCTGCAGTTGCGTACGTTTCATTGACGTTAGGTGTATTACAGTACGCTTTGGTTTTGGCATTGTTTAAAAGCGCGAGTTACAATAAGGAGGTTTTAAAGAAAAAAAATACAATACACTCTTCAAAACAATTTTGTATTCTTGCAGCAGGAATGAAAAAATAAAATTGAACAGGGAATAAACAGCCTGTTCATCTTGGTTTTCTTGCAGCTCAAAACTGCTTTTTGAATGCAAAAATGGATTACTGTACTTACAGCGTGACTCACAGTAGAAATGTCTAGTTTAATTGGCTGCAAGAATGGATGTGGTCTTTGTGCGTTGCTGCAGTCAAACGGGCTCTTGGTTTGTCGTAATTGTCGATCTAAGAGCTTCACAGCTCCCGATTTTATTTTTTGTAGTTGACCGAGTAACTTCTTATTCCAGGTCATATCGCAGATTAGTTACACATAATGTTGTTCAGATCTTCCTATCAGAGTTCCCAGATAGATTTGAGGTCAGCACGATTTCTTTTTCAAAAAATGTTTTTAAGCTTTTAAAAAACCACATACACATATCATCAACGTCTTTCAAGGGTTTCAGCAATACACTGCTGACGCCTAGTGGCGATTTGCGTGGCTTACAGCAATATTTCTATAGTATAGCGCTCCCAGTTAATTTTGTTTTGTTCAAAGTCATGTTTGTTTTTTCTGAAGCTGACGGCAAGGAAGACAAAAAACACTGTAAGAACATTTAGAAACGTGACCATGTGAACCAGAAGAAACTTTCCTGAGTTGTGGTAGGCAGAGATTTGTAATGGAGAGTTATACAAGCAAAATAAGTCTCAAATAAGAGAAGATGCCAGGGAACAAGCAAAGGGATAGCAAACAGATCAGAACACAATCTGCTCAAGCTGGTGTCCACATTTAACCCAGAATCTGCCTCTCGTACTGGAGCTCCAAATCTGGTACCAGTTTTCACACACCCCAGTGTGACCTCATTTCCCTGCACACATGAAGAGGCTTCTTAACAGAAACAAAGCTTCTTTCTTTTCACTTTTCAACATGGAGTTGACCTTCTGTTCCTCAAATAGTAATATTTATAAATGACAAATAGTAAATTTTATAAATGACTGCTTTTTGTACAGTGTAGCACATCAGTGATATTTTATTACAATAATACATCACAATGTATTTACAATTTCCAAGTAAAAACCCTTAACATAGTACAAGTAGGTATTTAATCATAAAACAATGACACTACAGCACATTTTACAGAATTGAGTTGAATATGAAATATTGGTGGAAAACAATGTGTTTAGAAGTGATCTAATTGGCATTGTTGTCTTAAGGTTACCCAATGTTGAAAGCATTCACCCTCCTACGGGGATGATACAGATCAAGGAACATACAAAGGAGTATCCGTGTCAACATTCACTGACAATTAAACTGCAAAGAAACTCTTTTTTTGTAAGATTGCATGCGTACCCTTGGCCTTGTAACTATTTTCTTGCTAAACCTTAGTGAAGCCACTACCCTCTAGAGATCCATAACCTGGGGAGTCCTTTCCCTCCCTCTGAGGAGTCTAACACATTTGTCATCAGTCTTAGACTGGTTATATCCTTAAAAATGATCCCTTACGCTGTGTGTGGAAGTCTTAAGCAAGACTTTAGTGGAAGCTTTCCAGAGCTAATATTTTCCTCTGAAAATGTACCGGATGCAGTTTTAATTTACAGGCATTCAGTTTGTTTATGTTTTCTCATTTCTTATTTTTTGTAAAACAGAGGAACAGAGTGAAGACAAAATTCCCTGAAACTGACATGTAATTTCCCAGAAGTGTTTGTCAGTCCAACACAGTGGGATTTTCGCTGTGGTACCCAACCCCCATTCCCCAGTTATAACACAAGAAGTCTTTTGACTCAAATAAAAGCAGGAAATATACAACATATTGGAAGTCTTCAGACAGGCTTTCTACCCAACAAGAGAACTTGCTGGTCTTGAAGATCTATGGAGGCAGATATCCAGTGTTTTCTTTTTGCCGAAACCCAAAGAAAAGACCTACTTCATGTTCCTCTCTATCCAGTCTTTGAAGTTGGCTGCTCGAGTGTAGACTGTGTAGAGACTGGGGCTGCAGGCTTGGTCGTAGCCCCAGCTCACCAGCCCCAGAAGGCGCCACACCACCCTGAAGTCCCCTTGGCCTTCAAGGCCGGAAGAGGAAGAAGGCAATACTGCAATGCCACCTGTTTCAGAGGGGCAAATGTTGGAGAAGCCCTGGGGGTGCTCCCTAGCACAGAACATGTTGTCGGTGATGCTGACCAGCAGCCCATTTTGGGCATACTGACTTTCACACAACACCACATCGGCCAGCTCCATGGTCCCCACACGCGTGGTCTCGTTGTCACGGGTGCCGGGCTCAGGAAGGATGGGCCAGCCCATCACGTAGCCCTGCAGAGCTGTGATCTCTCCTCCCTGGGCACTGGGCAGGCAGATGGGCAGCACCCTCTCGTTGATCTGGGCCTTGTCCAGCAGCTTGAGCATGGCCATGTCTGAGTCCAGGACCAGTGGATCGTAATTGGGATGAACAAGAATAGCAGAGACCTGGAAGTCGAGGTAACAAAAAATAAAATGAAAAAATTATAGATTTACTGTATCTATTAAATGTATTCATACTCATAATGGAAGAAAAAGATAAAACATATTACACAATGAGTTGGACTGGATAATTTCTTCTAAAAATTGTAAATACAGTATGTTACATTGTAGCATTGCACAGAGCAAAGTCATATTTGTCATTAATTGTTAACTGAATTCTGGAAAAAGAGGTCATATTTATTTACACCTCTAAGTGTTCTTTATAATAAAAGTCTACAAAAGCATCTATAATAACTTTCTACGCAGTGGAACCTTTTGGATCAATATGGAGGCCTCTGATGGAGTTGGTACAAGGAGACATTCAGGAGTAGCTTCTTCATCATGGGTAAAGTCAAAGATCAGGTTAAAAAGTCACTGAGCTCCACCAGCTGGGGAATGGCTATAAAATGTCTAAGAAATTCTAGAACTGTCCTACTAGTATAGTGGCATCCCTGCCAAGATTAAGATGTAAGGGAATCTGGCCTCCGCAAGCTGTGAGACAATTGGTTTGCGATACAAACGTAAATCCAAAGGCAACTGAGATGGTCTCAAATACACACCGACTTGCCTTGTCTCTGTAACTATGGAACGGTTAGACTTACTCTCAGGTGCTGCTGGCTCTTCGGCTCTTTGGCATCATTGCGGTAGTGTTTGCCCACTACCACCTTGATGTCGGCGGCCTTCAGCACATGCACTTTGCCCAGGTCGGTCACACAGTGTGCGGCCACAACCACACTGCGCTGGTTAACCAGCGCCCCGCTGCAGATGAGCTGCCAGGCGCCCTCGCTCTCTGGCTTGATCTTCGAGGCCTCGTCGGTGCGCCGGTAAATAGCCACATGCCAGGGCCAGCGCGTTTCAGAGAGCTTCTTCTCATTGAAGGCCGGGAGTTTGCCACAAACTGCAGGGGAGAAGAGAGGGCTGAGCTGGGGTGTACAGATCCTGACATTAAGACGATACTGATATTAATGTTTTATTAACTCAAAATGTAGGTTTTTAGTTGATCTGTGTTTACAATATACTGGATTTTAATCACTGTAGGACTGTATCAATGTACCCAGTGATCCAGCAGATCCTATCCATCTCTTATTAAAAAAACACTCATTCCTGGTAGGCAGCTTGGCAAGCCGGAGCCTATTCCAGAAGCACTGGACACAGGGGAGGACTGTACCCTTGGCAGGATGCCAGTCCATCGTTGGGCATGCTACCGCACACAGGGACTGTCCAGGCACACCAATGACCATGGCTCATAGCCAACATGTTGTAAGGAGGTGGGATTAAAGCAGTGCACTTAGAAAAAACACACACAAATACAGTTAAACTTGCAAAGACCTTACAGAATACACAACTTTATGATGGCCATAAAATCTTTCTGTTAGATTACTGTATTGTATGAAGAAATAAAAGTGCTCACAAGTGATATATATATCTAGTAAACATCGCAAATGGATAACTGTGTGTACTTGCTCTGATGGTGCTTTAAGTGCCTCTAAAACAAATTGGTTGAAGCATATTTGTAGGATTTCTCTGAGATGCTTAACTTGGCTCTGGGTATGATATGATTTAAGCTTTATTTGTATTTTTGTGGTCCCAGCTAAAGATAATAACATGCACAGTGGTTAGCATTGCTGCCTCGCAGCACTGGGCTCTGGGTTCAAGTCCTGTGGTTCTTTCTGTATATTTGCCCTGTGTTCACGTGCCTTTCCTCCAGGTGCTCCTGTTTCATTCCGCAGTCCAAAGACATCCTGGCAGGTTCACTGGCTTCTGGTGCACACTTGGCCCTGGTGTGAGTGTGTGTTTTTGTGCAATCTGCTGTAATGGACAGGCATCCCATCCAGGCCATATCCGGCCTTGTACCTGTTGCTTGGTGGGATAGGCTCCAGCTCCTCCGCAGATGGGTGAATGGATAAATAAAAAAGGCAATGAACTGACTTCTGGCCATTTTCTACAGCGGATTCTCTCTGGTGAATGAGCATGTCTAATGAACGTTGAATAAACTCACAGCATGACAGCATGCTGTCCTTACCTGGCAGGCAGGTCACGTGGCGCCCACTCCACTTGCCAGTCTTCAGACATGTGCGACGGGCGCTGCCAGTGTGCTGGTAGAATGGGGAGGCACACTCGTACTGCAACTGGGAATGCAGGTGGTGATAGCCAGGGGGCAGCTCCACAGGGGCAGGAGGGGGCTTGGTGGGGGAGACCACATTGTAGAGCTTCCCCAGTGCAGAGGAAGAGTAGTATAGCCTGTGTACTGGAGTCGTCCTGAGAACAGAAGAAAGACTTGTTTACAGTATGTAGGGGTTTGCAAAAACTTTTTGTTTTATCTTATTAAAATTAAAATCCAATGCAATTTCTTTCAAAATGTCATCCTGTATTCGTGCAGCAGTGATCATCACTCCCAGCTGAAAAATGTTAAGCTGCTCTGACATTGTACTGAGATTTGGAGAAGGGTGCCTCTGTAGTTATATCATGCCAATAGCAGCCTCAAGGACAAAGTCATGCAGAAATGCAATATGTTACTTTAGGTGTGCATGGTTTACATCCGAGTGAAAAATGTCAGATTAATGAACAATAAAAAGGACAGGTTCTATAGTCAAATACTTGTAGTAGAACATAGTGATGCATAGCACTATGTTTAAGCACACTTCTTAGTCTTAGTCTTCTTAGTCTTTAAAATAATCATGGCAGTAACTAAAAAAATGTTTCTTTAAAACAAATTGAGTGATTTGATTTTATTGAAAGATACACTTCAAGACTAGTTTGATTGATAATCATTCAATGGGTAAAAAACTAGGAAGTGAACGGCCTCAATCAGTGGTGGGTAATGACTGAAATTAGCATTATAGGACAGACTTAATCTTCACTGGCCAGTTCAATCCCCTACTGAAAACCAGGGGCAACAGTGGAACATGCTGATCAAACCTGCACACCATTACTCTGATCACAACCTCAGATTAACCCAATTTAATCAAAGGTCTAGCCCTGTGAAACATGATACCTTGAATGGGATACTGACAGACAGGGTGTGACACTTACCTGGATTGAGTTGCAGGAGGCAGAACCTTCTGTCTCACCAAGTCAGACACCTTGGGCTCCCGACAGGCTGTGAACACAAGACACATAGAAACGGTCAACGTTCCTTAATTAATACTTACTATGTAATACACACACTTTGCTCATTTTTTCCTGTATGTGTATTTATTTTTAATCTAATGTTTATTTAAAATTTTATTTATCCACCCATCCATTTTCCAACTGCTTTATCCAGCATAGCGTCATGGGGGAGTCAGGTCCTGTCCCTCCAAGCGACAGGCGCAATGCAGGAGACACGCTGGGCAGGATGTCAGTACATCGCCAGCCACACACCTGCCCTCCTGCCCAGACCATCTCTCCCTATTTAGTGTATTTTGACGAAGTATTGTGTCTCAAGGTCTCACAGATGTTGTCAGACTGTGACTGGCTGTCAAATCTGAGCAGGTTAGGAACTGTTCATTGTGAACTTCCAGTCAGTGAGCGACAGTGACTGACTTAGTCCAACCTCCATCATACTAATGAACAGAGGCATTACTCTCTATACCAATGTGAGCTGCTATATTGGCTTTAGACCATTAATAAGTTAATAAGGGACACTCTTTATACCATCAAGTCAGCCCAAATCTATGAATGTATTTTCACTGGCCAAAGTTTTTAAGAGTGTTCTTATGAACATACTGCAGGAACATGTTCTAATCAAATGAGTAGAAAATCTGACCATTAATCAGCTACCAGAGGGATACTGTACCTTTGACACACTGGGGCTGCTTGCCACTCCATGTGCCATCTGGCTGACAAGTCCGCTGGGCACTACCACTCAAGGCATAGGAGTTGTTACAGAAAAACTTGACAGTGTCAGGGGCGTCCCCTGAGCCTGATGTTAGGATGTAGTAGCCATTGTAGAGCCTTCCTGGTTCAGCACACTGTATCTTCTCAGGCACTGAGTACAAAGAGGCAGGCAGACAAAATAAAATTAATTAAAAGAACTTTAATTAGTAGACCTTTCATGGCAAAGTCACTATAAATTTGTACAGAGAAGACCATGGAAATTGAATTAGGTAAAGCCTTGAAAGATGTCCCAATCCTGTAAATAGCCAAAAGAATGTTCAAACCTACCAAGGAAAATATGGATAGGTGGCATAGGTTAAATGTGTTTACAGGCAATAAGGGCTGTACAATCACCTACTTCTAGATGTTCTAAACTCGCAAAAGGCCTTTGTATCAATATCTTATGTTGGTTCTTGGTTCTTGGTTCTTGGTTCTTGGTTCTTGGTCCTGATAGATGCAAGGACTCCTAATTTCCACTAGAGACTGTACAAGGATGAATTCATTGTTTAAACTGTATTTTTGTCCCGTGGACGTTATTCTATCCAAGACCTTCACTAAATCAATAAGTTAGCTGTCATGCGGATTCCAAGCCAAGTATGTGGTGGAGGGTTTCCTTTGGGTTAAAGGTGTCATATAAAATTCAACCAGGTTTGTATTTGACAAGGATGGCTGCAGGAGTGTTCATACTTTCATTCCAAAGTTCCCCATTCTCCCTATTTCTGCCAATGTAAAACTTAAAGTGTTCCTTACTCCTGGAAACTGGAAATTCAAGGAGACCCAAAATATACAGTAGCCTGGGTTTCTACTGGGGTAGTCACCGCCACACCTGCTGGGTACCTGTGTGTCTAGTTAACTGCTCCTATACTACATGCCTACTGCATACTAGGTATATACTAGTACCTCTAGTGCTGTTCTCACCTGGTTATAGAACAGCATGTACATCAAAGGTTTGATATTGCTTACAGACTCTTACCACACATACAGTATATGCTGTATAACTATCACTGTAATAATACAGTACTGCCACTAGAGACCCTACCTTTGACACACTTGGGCTGTGTGCCACTCCATGTGCCATTTGGCTGGCATGTTTGTTGAGGGTTGCCACTCAGAGTGTAGCGACTGTTGCAGAAATATTGCACAGCTATTAGCACATCTCCTGGGCCGTAGACCAGCAGATAATTGCCATTTGAGGGCTTCCCTGGTTCGGCACACTGCTTCTCCTCAGGCACTGGAATGAAGACAAGTTGTGGAGAAACTTTGAGTTCACTGTGTAGCACAAACGTCTCATATTCTGCTGTCTGGGTGAAAAACATCAAACAGACAGCAATTTGGAATTCCATTGATAATAAGATCTCTCAGCCTCAGTAACAAATCTACTTGGGAACTTCCAGCAAAACAGTTAATGCCAAACATGAGATCATGAGTAGTTCCTGGAAAATCATGAGAAAAGCTTACCAACAGAAGCTAAGAGGCACTCTTAGAAAGTCCTGTTCCAGGGAACTTTGGCTTCTGTTCATTCTAATAAACTGTGGTAAATTTCAGGAAGCTGCCAGCTGTGCAAGCTTCCCTGCAAGAGGATGGAAACTAGTGCCAGCAGCTATTTGCATTAATTTCAGTCTCTCTCTATGAATCAAACTTTTCTCAGTCATTCTCCTGGGGACACCCTTTGACTTCCGGGTTTCATTCTATCTGAGCTTTAATTACTCAGGGTAACTGAAGCCCTTTTTTGACTATTCGTTTCCTAAAGCCCTTTTAATTGTCTTCAGTATATAAGGAAATTAGACAAGACTAGAAATGAACATCAATCCACTACCAAGAAATGGATTTCAGTGAAGCCCAAATTGAGGTGTATTATTTCTGTGTGGAATGTAGGCAGCTAAGCTCATGCCAGAACCAAGAATGTGAACATTGGTATTGTGTGAAAGAGAATATTTCCACTTCTGTCTGTATGTCATTAACTGGTAGCACATTACATTTGTTTAGACATCTCATAAAGAGCGAAAATGTATTAAATATTGTGTAGATAGACTAAATATCATTTCGTACATCTTGGCAACAATACTGTATGAATGAAACTTTTTTTCAAAAAAGACTACTAAAATGATGCACAGAATCTCAAAGATCTTTGACGAATCATTAAAAAGATATGCCCAGCCAATACTGAGAGATATCTCTTCTTCACCTTTACAGTAGCATCAGAAAAGAATGCTTTTACTGACGTTTTACTGACAGCTGCTTGACACTACTTCCTACTGCTGTCAGGCTCCCTCTCCTTGAGTTATAGACGCATAAATCAGGTGAACTGTAGAAAAAATACATTTTGCTGCAAAACCTTCTTTTAATATAAATGCCACCCCTTTAGTGTTTAATAAGTAACGGTATCTGTAAGAGTCATGAATACCCCAGTTTTAAAATAGAGTTGTAATTAACTGGTGGGTTATTTATAAGCTCTTTTATATGAGTCATAAATCCAGTTTGTTGACATTGAAAAATTCTCGAACACCAAACTGGAAGAATTAAATGAATAAAACATCCCAGTTAAGGGCTAAGTGAGCCTGAGCTTCTAAGAGCCCCCCTGGACAGAAGATCCTCCAGACTGGGGCTCCAGAGCTCTACCTGAGCCTGAAGCTCTCCTCTCGCCTCTCTGAACAGCCTCTTGTTCTTACCACACTGAGGTGAGGGGGCACTCCAGGTGCCATCCAGCTGGCAGGTGACCTTGCGGGGGCCTTTTAAAGTGAAGCCAGGGTCACAGCGAAAGGTGACGTGCGCACCAAACCGAAGGTCATCGCCCTCCCTCGCTCCATGGACTGGCACCAGGGGGCTCCTGCACATCACCACTGACAGTTCAGATATTCCAAAAAAATCCACTTTATTACTCACACAAGACCAGCATCACTGCACAATATGATTCTGACAGGTCTACAGCGCAAGGTGGCTGTACTTTTAGTTTTGAATAAATTGTATCAAATCCACTTGTACTGTAGCGAACTTGACCTTGAAGGGTTTTATAACATAGAGGCTCCACTAGAGGCCACTTGAAACAGGTTTTCCATAATGGTCAAATATGAATAAAACATCACCTTCTCAGGTTTGAGGGTACAGTAAATGGCCACAAGGAGATTGCAATATGTCTCTAATTATTGAGAATGAGGTTTTAGCTGTGAGAAAAATGGATGCAAGGCAAATCTGGCACAGTAAGACAGGCTGTTTTCTTTGCACACAATGATGTAAATCTTGTAACTTGAAATAATGTGACATCACAGACAAGTGACTGCCTGTGGTGAAGAAAACAAGGTTTTTACAAGGTGATTGTGGCCTCAACCTTAGTTGAGGTTCTCCAGCCACCCTGACCGGTAATAGACTTAATGAGCTAGTAAAAATCAGTAGTGCTCCCAGCGCTGTTAAGGCAATACCGAAGGTGAAGCTTTCCCAGAGAGAAGAACAGTGTGTGAAGTGACAAAACCAGGAAAGTAAATCAGCCCACTGCATGTGAAGCAATGATACAGACCCATATTTTCCCTCTCTTTAAGAGCAGCTAGAAATGATTTGTACCCAGAATTTTACTTAACCCCTAAATCCAACTAAGATCAATATTTGTTTTCTCAGAACCCAGGGACAATTTCCACCTGCAGTGATGTGCCCTTAAAATGTTTGCAATATCTTGGGAAGTATAGACCTGCTATAGGCCTGGTTCAGGGCTTAAGTAGAAGCTAAAGGGAAATCTAGTGAGTGACTGTGAGTTGGCCTGACTTGTTTATGGATTTATCCATTTAACAATCCTGTTCTTGTGCTTATGAAGCAACTAATGATGTTTACTAAGCGGTGCTTATTAAAACTTATTAAACTATAGGTTCACTTATTTATCTTTGCCAAGTTGAACACTGGTTCACTGGTAAGGAACAGTAAAGGTTTCTGGTGCTTCATGGATTTGATGCAAGGTACCACGACGAATGGACATATTTGGGGTAGATGTCCATAGCTGACTGTTGCACTGCAAGCCCATAATTCAAAGAGAACAGATAACACCAATAATTCACTGTGCCAATTAAGCACTGCACCCTGGGAGGTTCTGACACATTATTACCTGTAGCTTAATGGTGTTTTAACCCAACAATCTCAAGAATACAGGACACATCCATACAAGAAAGTGCAGAATTATATATGATGAGTCACACAGGAACTTAGCTCAGTACTTGAGCTTGAGGACAGTTAGAAGCATTAACAGAGTTAGAATTAATCAAATAGCAGCAAAATCTCTTTCCAAATTGCCAGTAAATTATTTTGCAGTTATGCAGCATTTATGAACAGACCAGCTTATATCATACAGATTTTGGTTCACCTTTTACAGATAAGTATTTGTTAAAGGGAAAGAATAAACAGTTTATTTCTTGAGAGCTTGAGAGGCAGACAGGGCTTGGAAACAGAGATGTAATGAGTTTTAGCACTTCATTAAGAGAAATAAAACATAGAGCCTATTAAAAATCTTTCTAATGACACAGGTCTGAATTGATACCCCACCACAGTGCAACAAGTCTGGCATCACTCAGAAAGACATCTGCTTCTCAGCTTTGGTGTCTTTAAAGGTGCTGGTAAAAGTCACTGGTGGGTACCACATTTAAACAACTTGTGCATTCCCTAGACTGTTATGGCAGTAATGTTCATAACAGGCCTGAAAGGTAAGTAAGACTTAACTTCATAAAGAGATTTAGTAGACCATAGCCCCAAGGGTTACCACATTAAACAGTATTGACCTAAGGGGCTTAGTACCTATGCAATCAGTAACTTGGTATCTCTTCTTTTCAGGTTTTGAGAACCTTAAACAGCCTTCACATATACTGTAACAGTGTTCAGTGTTTGATGCTTACAGTTTTGAATGGAAATGTTCATTTAAAAAAAGATTCACCTTACATTTAATTAATCAAAATGTGATATTATTGGCAGAGGTTAATACTTTTTGAAGGAATCAAACATTTACTTTGTTTCATACAGTATAATCCAAATGATTGCAAAACATAACTCAATGGGAAAGATATAATTTCTACAAATATACTATGGTAATCTAATTGGGTAGGGAGCCAATTTGGAATTCTTACATCCTACAACTGTATATTAAGTGTCAGACCAGCCATGTTAAACCTTAGCATATTAAATAACCACTACAGTGTGACTCTATTCCACTAATGGCCATAATTACAGACTTAACTGTTTAAATAACTACCTGTATTGTTCATTCTTTTAAAAGATGATGCATATAACTTGCTGTCACTTGCCACATGGAGAATAAAGTACAGTATACAAGGGTCATTGTAAGAGCCAGCAGGATCCAGTTACAGCCTCCTCTGCTGTCTCCTGCCAAATCCAGGTAAGTGTATCCTTCCAGTAGAGAGGTACACACACCAGACAGTAACCAGATGCAGATTCATGGGGCTAAAACTATAAATCAAAGAGTCCTTTGTTGGCCACTAGTTAAAACCGAACAGGGGATGGAAAATTTAACTTTTTTGCCATTGTTTTATTTTAAATATAAGAAACTATTCATTTAAAAGCTGAGAGGTGCTTTTAAGAGGCCTCCTGAGAATTTAAACTTTTTTTACCAAAACTAATTTGCAGGAATAGCACAGTACCAATGGTTTATGCAATCCTGTTCCATTTCTGTGTGACCAGCTGCCTAGACAGCACCCAGAGTCGAACAGACAGACTCCATGTGGGTGAGGGAAAGGGTTGTTCTGCTCATATTCTCATTCAGTAACAAGCAGACATGAGAAAAGGTAGGAGTATCACTCACTGTTTTCACAGTGTCTGCCAGTGTAGCCACCCAAACAGGCACATCGATACGAGTCAGTTGTGTCCAGGAGGCAGGTGCCATCATGGAGACAAGGGGAGGAGCTGCAGGCTGCAGATGGAAATGGGAAATAGGAAGATGGTTGGGACTGGGAAGACTGGCTTGCAGAGAACGTCAAGGCTGTTAGGACTGGACTGGGTCTGATCTGGACTAACAGATTACTTTAGAGAATAAAAGCAGTTGAAGAGTATTAAAGGTTTGTTGAGATACTGACTAAAATTATTGCCATCTACTGTATTATTTACTGTACATTTAACATTATATAAACAACTAAAGTATTCTTCTTAATAAGTAAAATTAAACAGCTGTGCAAAAATAAGGGAAATATCACAGGCCCTGTCTCTTCTTTGTTGTTGTAAAATGCAGTCTCTTGAACTGAATCTTGGGTAAATTTAAAATATAAATAAAGCAGGAATATTGTAGAATTATTTGTTCTTCCAAAAGACAGGTGACTAAGATGAAGTACAGTACAAGACGCAGAAAGATCACAGGTTAAAACTGATATAAAATCCTGTTACAGTTACCTGAGCTCTCTTCAAAAGTGGCAAAAAACCCATCAAAGCTTTTGTAGCCATCTGAGACGAAGAGAATGTGAAGGGAGCTGCCAGAGCTCCTGATGGGAGCAGGTCTCTCGTTCCCACAGAACCGCCCAATCACACGCGAGTCCACACTGTCGCCATCCCGCACTTCCACATAGTCATAGCGACAGCTGTAGTCGAACTCCAGGCTGAGCATTAGAAACCTGAGGGAAGGAGAGTAAGACTGAGCTTTGCACAGTAGAAACTATAACTATGATAAACGAAATTAAGATTTTAAACCACTAGAATATTAGCACTACAGATTGATTGTAAGAGCTACTGCAAGCAAATACCTTAAAACTGCATAGGTCTTGGAAAGGCATTCTCTAACAATTGTCTTCAGAACTGCTGTTCTTCATCACTGTTATGCTTAGGGTTACCACAGCATGTACTCTGAAAGCCTATTCCCTATCCAAAATATGCTGGTGGAATTCATAAGTTACAAAAGGTCATTTCTACAATTTCTTAAATTACAGCATGCAAAAAAATAAAGGAACAGATGTCCTTTTAGAAGAGGAAAAAGAATATTATATCAAGCAATTCAGATATTGGAAAATGTATATATTGTGTTATATTGTGATACATTATTAAACTGTTATATTATACTGTTATATTGTGGTTCACTTAAAAGCAGGGAACATCATAGAGTAGTGGGTATGCTGTTCGGGTCCCACCTGCTGACACTACTCCTGAGTGAGGTATTTTACCCCAGTTCTGCAGTTCTCCTAGCTGTATAGTGGGGACCGGCATTGCTAGGAGCAGTTCTCTACTCTCAGTCTGCTAGATGCTATAGTACCCAGGATGAGCTTGATGTTGAAGAACCCCTGTGCACTGGTGCAGTATGTACTATACCCTTTTTCACTTAGAGATCCCTGCACAGACAAAGCACACAGGCCAAAACATTAGAGTTCTTCCTCAAAGAAAAGATTAAAACAGTATCTGTTTTTATATACATGAGATCAACCTGAATCCAGTATTGTATTAAGATAACCAGTTCACAGTTTGGAAATGTTTAAAAGTAGTCATTTTAACATAAAACTGTAGCAATGGCACAAAGATCTACGAGGTTGTTTCTGTGTACTGTGTAAGATTTTGGAGGATTCATACATGTTGTTTTATCTGTGTTGTTCACATGCCAGGAGGTTGCAAAACCCCTAGCTGACAACTGAAAATTGCAACTTTCACAACACAAAACGTTTGGGTAGGTGGTTTTACTGAGCTCCACTCTTAACTCTTAAATCATAACTTAACATAGAACAATAACTTCAGTGTCATTAAGGAAGCACAAAAGAAAAGTTTGTATTGTGTGCTGAGAAAAACAACAAAAAAGAGAATAAAAAAAATGTGTAACTCTTTGGATACAGTAACATTTTTCCGTTAAAAATAAAATTTCAGACAAATCCAAACAACATCCATGTAATATTTACTAACATTCAAAAGATATTGTAGTGATCTGGCAATAGAGCATTAAATATTCCCCTTAAAAACAAATCAAGAAACACAAAAGAAGATTATTAACTCTGCCAATTAGCAACCAATGCTAAGTAACTTCAGCACTTTGTCGTGATAAATATGATTTATTACAGCGATGTATTGTTTTCATGTTAACTAAGCCAGACAGTTGGTTCAATAATCTCAAAATAAAAATAACAATTCATGACTCATTTATTGATTAAAAAAGTGTGAAGCATTTATTTTAATTTCCTCCTTTTTGTGGGAACAAAATGCTTATAAATATTTGATTCCTGTACTTAGGCTGCTTGTTTTTAAACCCCATCATCAGCTTTCAAAATCTGCAGCTCCCTGCAAAAACGATTAATGTAGAATTTCATGTCATTAAGTCTGTAAGTGTTTCCAGTGAGATCATGACCATTTCCAGCACACAAGAGTCACTCAAAGCTACAGTTGTTTGTGTGAAACAAATACCATAATTGCACATAAGGCAGATCTGAGCTCAGCTGAAATACATTTTATGAAATGATATACACATATACTGTGAAAAAAACAGGAACAGATGGCACTCATTAGTTTTAATGAGGAAATGTTCTGCACATGTGAAATGATAAAGGACATTTTACCTAACTAACAATGCATAGGGAAAATATAACTTCCTTCTCCTTGACTTTTATTTATAAACAAGGTTGCTGTCCTGCCCTGCGGGAAGGTGGTATTGCTGCACTGAAATTCTCTTCCGCTGTTGTATTTTCAAGAATAAAACAAAAATCTTCATGAAGATATTGAACCATTCATCCAATTCTAGTTGCTCCACCTCTCCAGGAGACACAGTATGAGTCGCAGTGAAAGTTACAAGAGGTGAGTTCTCTGAAACATCCTGCATGTGCTCTGGGGACTGTGAGCTCCTGGGATCTAAACGTTATCAAGTCCTGCTGTCGTCTTCAGTGAGGCAGCAGGGGTGTGTACAGTACACCACCATTTCTCTCTTGAGGTTACTTACTGTATCACCCTCCCCATAGTAGAGCACAATAAGGAAAATGAGTGGTTTTCTCCTCCTTCACTGTTCTCAGGTATCGCAGTCCTTGGAAACACCATACGCTTTGCCAAACATATTTATTCAACTAAAGGCGCTCACCTGTTCTCTAGGATCTGTAGGTACTGTAGTCTTCAGGTCTTTCGGTGCCCTAGAAGAACTCGCTAGCCTGAGATTCTTTCTCATACTGTTTGGCATGAATGCTCTCCACTCCTATTGCTTGTAAACTTTCATGTTAATATCTGTTATTCTTATTGTAAATCTCACAAAAGTAAGGTTCAATGGTCATATTTTTCACCTCTTGTGTTTCACAATTAAGCATATTATTGGCTTTTTATATCAGTATGGGCTATTTTTTCAAAAACAGGTCTATATTCCATGACCATGTTCCATATACAGTAAGTTAAATATGTAGAACATTGGCTTAACTATAACAATTATGATGTATACAATGTCTGGATACTTATCTAGAAATAAAAAACATGTTCCTTGTGAAATGTACTTCATCTAACTACTAGAACAGTGCTGATTTCATACAAGCTCCTTTTTGTTTTTCAGTTATGCGTGAGTGCTGGGTACTAGTTGGATACACAGAATTAAATAACAAACAAGCAACTGAAACAATTAGTTACATGCCTACAAGTGTACTGCGCAATTAGATTGAGTGAAACTGAAAACAAACCTCTGCTACTAATTAAATAAACACATATTCAGCTAATAAATGGGATTACAAAATCTATTTTGGAACCCTACCCCTTGAATCTGTGGCAAAATAGCTAAAAATTGGCCCTGTTGGGCTATAATTAACTGTTCTTTTCCTCTTTATTTAGCAAAAAACCAAAATTGATCCTGGAGATAGGATGAAAACAGCATGTATCATCCAGAATATGTCATTAGTAAATGCTTTTAGTTGTTTTAGATACAATGCATGTACAATAAAATACTTCTATTTTTAAAAGAAAGATTTTTCCAGAGGTTTTACAGGAATATATAAAGTGCACAATTTGGCTTAAAAATACAGTTTTATAAATTCTTTATATTCTGTCTAACCATGGTAGAACATAAAGTAAAAGAGTTTTACTTCTTGAATTCTTTGTACATATTGCAGTATAAGACAGAAGTCTCTTTTTACTCAAATGCTTCGTCTGGGTTAGTGTTTGGCACTGGGGGTTAGGATTAGCTCTCAGCATCTGCAGTTGACTTTTTTTGCTTGGAAAAGCTGCCAATAGTGACAGGAAAAAATGCTGAACATAAATAATAACCAACATTCATAACATTCCCTTGGCTAAGTGAAAGCAAAGCAAAAAAAATGTTTCAAAACCATAATTTTATTTGAACTTCAGTAAAAAAAATGCACTTACTAGATTTCAATAATCAAAAGGTCAAACAGCAAACTTTAAGGAGAAAGAATAAAACACCTGCATATTAATTCTGCTGAATGAGTGAAATACAGTATGATGCCCATGTGTCAGTGGGAATGATCCTCATGTTTATAGGCATTTGGTGCACATTACAATCAAACTTTTCACATAAAAGTTAAAAAGACAGTTCAGCTCAAAGCAGCATTGCAGGTAGCAGACATTTCGCCAAAGATAGCATTCTAGCCTGTCACGATTTACTACCAAATCCGGAATAAAGTTTTTTTCCTGCCAACTCTTACAAATGGGATTTGTAGTAAAAGCTCTTATCTTAAGCAATAAGTGTCTTAAGTGGTTCATACTGTAGTCCTATGGTTGTTGGCCCAGATTAAAGGTTCTTGAAAAAAATATCCATTTCAGTGGCAGCTTTTCTTAAGGTACCTGATATGATCCTATCAGAAATTATTTCAGTATGACATGCCTTGTCCATGGCCTCTCTTATTACTGTACTTTAGACATGTGAAATCACATTCAGACATGTGCAACTGAATTGAATTAGCTACTAGCGCCTCTAGGACTTCCGTGCCATAGAAATGAGCCATAGCAGATTCCAGACAAACCACAAAAGGAGACACATTCAAGAACAGTCTCCTTCACCACAAGTTATCTTCTAATTGGCACCAAGAAAAATAAGCAGTTTTTTTTTTTTGCAAGTGAAGGTTGAAGCCTTTTGTCTAGGCTTCATGTTGTATTTTCTATTCCAGGACTAAATTTTCTCCTCCTGTTGTGAAATACTGGTCAATCACTGGAAGTATCATACTTACCCAATTGGAAGAATATAATGAAGCAAAACAATGCCAAGACGCAGAAACTGCAGAAGGGTGAGAGGGGGAATTTGTGAAAACCACTGTCATTCAGGTTTAGTTAATTTAGTCCAATTGACCATGCAGCCAAGCAATAGTTGCTGGTTTTTATTTTATATGTTTAAGAGCATATTGTTGAGATTGTAATTGTTTCCCTTTATTGACATACTTTCTGCTTAAAAGTTAGCATACTGATCATCAGTGATAAATCTGGAGAACACATGAGGCAGGTCTGGTGTGAACTGCTTCCACGATGGCAACGTGTATAAGCTCTAGAGAAAGAGCCGCACAGTTTTTTTCCCCCTCTACAAAAATGACAGGTATTTGTTTTTTTGGATCCGAGATTTAAATTGAAAACAGGTTGGTCTGCTTTAGAAATTCAACACACAAACCAAACAATCAGCGGTCTACCAGCTGATTGAAATCAGCACCTTTTGCATATTCACTTGAGCTTTATCATTGAAAAACTCAAGTAAACCATATCTTAATCATGCCAAGGAAGAACATACTTTTTTTATTTTTATCATTTACTGTCCAGTTAATTTTGTTTTTAATTACTTGTTTTTAACAGTGCAGTGTAGGGTAATGAAATATACAGTATTTTATTCATTTGTCAAAAAGTAATTCTAATGTATTTACTGTACTGAATATTTTTAAATCGTAGGGATTTAAAAACATTTCTTTCATCTTTTTGTTACTTAATTTCTCTCCCCTCCAGTACAGTATATAATCAGAAAACGTTTGTTTTCTCTCTACATCATGCACTGAGCTGCTGCTACAGTGCTTTCTCTCCCTTTCTGCCTACCTCCTTCAGAGATTAACACACACACCTGTTGACCATTAAAGGACATTAAACCCTGGTGGGCCTGCAGTTCTGCCCTTCCGTCACTCCTTTCTCACTCGAGGGAAAATAATCGAGGATCTCTGCACTCTCATGAATGGCAATGTTCTATACTGTATGTATTCATGAAACATCTAAGAATGGCTTGCTTCTGATTTACGGAAGATTTGGGTTACATAACAATTCAAGGAACCTAATCCACGGTGTGGGTGTGATAAAAAACAAATATTGTTCAGTACTACAATGATAAACAATAAAAAATTAAGTATAGTATCCCAGAATTATGAATGGGAAGTGTTTAGAAGAAGACTGATACTGATGTATTTAAAAATATTTCATTCAGGAGTTTACCAAAGAAGAAACAAGAAACATCGTTCAGGCTGTCATAACATTTCAGTGTTAAGTGCTATTTTAATTAATATTAGCACAGAGAAGACCAATGTATTATGGGTCAAGAAGCACTTAAGAAAAATAGAAACCAAACACCAGGGCCTGAGTGTGCTTGTATTCTGCCCATGGACTGTTATTCCAGTCCATTAACTAATCTCTTCCAGCACTCACTCAAGAAAGGCATACAATATTGACTGGAAAATTGTTAATGGAGCACTTCATATATAAAATGGGACAAAGCTGAAACAAGTAATTTAAGGCCAGCAAGTCTTACAATAATTAAAGTCTTATCCAATGAAACGTTGTGGAAATTCTATTTAAGAGTCAAACTGGATGAATAATTTTATGGGAATAGGAATCTAGGGGATAGTCAATTTAAACAAGACCCTTGCACAATTTTCACATTTTGTTGCTTTAAAGTTTGCAGTCTTAACGCTTCTCATTAGAAGAGACTGGGAAGCTTCTCAGGACTGATAGGAATATAGATATTTCTATACACGCTGTACCTTAGAAATAAGATGAGTTTATAGAGACACTAATCAATTTAATTTCCCAGACACTGTGGGGAAACAATAAAAAGTTTAAACAGAGTATTAGAATACATAATTAGAATTGAAGAATCTAAACAGAGAGATGATACGTTCAAATGAATAATGCACAAATATTCCTTATTTCCAGGAATAGTATATACAATTTTGAGCACCAGGTTACAAAAAGATTGTTGCTCTGGATATATCGAGAGAAGGCTGGACAGACCCCTGAACAATCATCTATCAGAAACAATGTCAGCTAGATTTATCAAATGGCCTGCTCTCATTTATAGCTTTTAAGAAGTTCTTAAAACTGATGAATCATCTTTTGCCTTTCAAATAATGCTTACAGGAATCTGGAATCTGATACAGTTGAAGCTTACCTTAATTCAATGTTAAAGTCCGGGCTGACTTGTATTGTCCACTCACAGTGTGCATTGTTGGGGTAACCTTCTAAGGTGATGTGACCTCTTGGCAAATTGATAACTCCTCCACATTCTGCGAGAGGAGAAGGGAGAGGAACAGAGCTTTAAAACAGTTTCTATGTTCAAGATACAACAGAAACTTTGAGGGTCGAACAAAAGTTAAATTATTTTACTGCGGTGGAACAGCAATTCTAATGTGTTGCATTAGTCTCCACATCTTGTGGACAATATGTCACACAGTGCTAATATCCCTAATATTAGTAATAATCATTTGGTAATATAAATTAGCATTATTTTCGTATCCTAACTTATTCTTTTAATTGCAATGTAAAACATAACGAATAGGCAAATGTATTGCCAAAACAAAAACAAAAAATCTGGCATTGTGCTTTTGTATTAAGAACTGTCCAAAGTGCTGAATTTCAGTAGACTATTTACACACATTGATTTGATTTGCTATGACACTTAATATCAGTTTGTGTCATTTATTTCTCTGAAATATATATTTTTTTATAATTGACAAAGCTTTTGTCTTTAAAAATTAGCATTTTTGAATCAAAGTGTCATGTTTATAACAAACTGGCAGTTACTATAACATCATTTCTCAGTTTTCAGATTTCTCAGTTGGGAAGATACTGAAGATGAAGATACAGGGCATATTCCCGGGTCTGAACAGAGTGAGAGACACTCACTCATGCAATCGCCTCCAGACCAGCCCCTCCGGCACTCAGTGCAGTACTTTCCTTTGATGAAGAAGTCATCTCTCACCCCCCAGGTCCCATTGTGGCAGCGTTTACAATTCTCAAAAATACTGCAGCCTGGAGAAGAGAAGGGAGGAGAGTAACAGGCGTTCTGGAAAGGTGTAAGGAGCTAAATGATGTAGTATGTCAGCCCTGAGCTTGCTGTGTTTGCAGAAATACTGTAAGGCAGTGTGCTCTCAGGTCTGAGGCTCACTCCTAAGCATGGATGCTGAAGACCTCTAGTTCACTCATTAGGATTCATGGTAAAGCAAATTCCACCCACCCATTTTCTAACCGCTTCATCCAATACTGGGCTGTGGGGGTGCCAGAGCCCGACCCGACAAGCAGGCAAGCCAGGGTACACCCTGGATGGGATGTCAGTCCATCACAGGGCACACAGAGACACACACACACATACTCACACCAAGGTCGATTTTCCCGAAAACCAATTAGCCTACCAGTATGTCTTTGAACTGTGGGAGGAAACCAGAGCACCTGGAGGAAACCCATTGAACACAAGAACGTACATGTAATGTTGCACTGTGAGGTAGCGATGCTACCTTAAATGCTCAGAGCTCACTGACATCTGTTTACATGTTTACAAAAGTTGAACAATGATACTTCCTTAATGTTACCTCGACACTAAAGAAAAAGAATTTCAAACACTATTTTGAAATATAAAACACAAATACTAGAATTCATGTCAAAAGTATTTTTAAAAATAAACACATTTACATTTCCATTCAAATTTTAATATCTGACACTAAAATAAATGCCTATACATCAGAAAAAAATCCAAACATTTCAACATATTTATCAGAATAGACTTCTAGTTCTTATAAAGTGGATGAGATATCAGGAAAAAAGTCTGCTGAGACTTTTTTAAAAGGCATTAACTACTTGATCTCTTAGGAAAATGAGCAAAAATCAGTATAGATCATAATATTATACAGCTCAACATTGGCACTTATCCTGAACTGTTCACTATTTAACAGTTGTGGCCACTATAGTAACGTGCCTCACTGTGTTACCCACTGCATTAGGTTTGAACTGCATTGTACAGTTTTGTGACATGACTCCTGTCTATATTTTACTATGCATCTATTTCACTGAATCATACAGTGACCAGTAAGCCATTTGTGCAGTAACTTGATGAATAAAAATGGTTTACAGGGACTCACAGGGTCAGCTGAGTCTTTTACCTGGGTGGAATATGCAGGGATCACATTCGTTGTCCTCGTTCCTGCAGCACGGCACGGCGTAGCCCACTACCTCCCCCTGGCTGGGGCACTTGCAGCGGATCTGGTCATACTCACAGCAGCCCCGGCACATGATGTTCCACTCGGCGCCCGGGCAGTTGTCATTGATGAACTTGTATTCTGAAACCCCAAACAATCAAGTCTTAGCACACAGGCTACAAGCAAAAAAAAAAAGAATATCTAAAGCTACTGTACAGTCTATTGAGTGGTATTTTTACAAAGAGAACCACTTGAGATGTCAGCAATAATTTTCACATCTGCTCCTAGCTTTTAAGCTTCACAGTTTAAACATAAATGGCAAAACAAAGCTGAGTGTCTTAGAGTATAAGGAAGTTTATAAAATTACACATCTTCCCAGAAGTTCAACAGGATGAACTTTTCAAGGGGCAATGGCCGCTGTTTGAAACACAGCATGCACAATAGAAATATGAAGTAAGCTTTGTCTAGCACAGAGGGGGAGTATTTTGACTGAGGTCAGTTGTTTGTCCTTACATAGCCTTATTTTCGTCTCATATCTCAGTCTGCCTGTTTCATTGCCCAGTAAGCAACATCTTTTCAGAAGTTGTACACCACAGAATTCTTTATGACAAGTTCACTGGCTTGCATTCATTTGCATTTTCAACAGGAATGTTTGTCGACAGCGCATTACTTTTAGAGGTTTGAAAGTTTTATCCATTTCAGGCTTTGTGATTACAGGAGTGTCGGCACTTCAAATAAAATCACAAAACTACTTTAAACACTGTATTCCTATTTGCAATTCTTAGAATTTGAGACATTGATAAATGATTAAAGACACAAAATATTAGTACACAGCTACATCAATCACAATACTCTGTACATTCTCTAAGAAATGTAGAGAATTCACATGGTTGTGGAACAGTCTGTCAAATGCAACAAGACATACTGTATGCTCTTTGGAATAACTTTGCACAAGAATTTCACAAAGTCTTCAGCTTTGTACGTTTTTATGTTTTTATCTCATCACTGCTACTCACAAACTCCTTTTAAAAGTGTCATTGATTCCATATGACACTGAACTCTTCAATGTGCTTTAATGTGATTTAAATATGAGTAGGAAGCTTTTGTTTTCTTTAAGCCCTCTGCTGAAATTCCTGAAACACATATTTTCAAATGTGGTCTTGGAATACTCTGCAGTGGGACTTTCCACCGTTTTTTAACTTGGCCCCTGTTTTTCCATAGTAACATTAGCAATATTTAAACTCTATTCTTCTACTTAGGGTTCATCTGATCGATTTGATTAAAAAACACATTGATTGGACATAGTGGAAATGGGTGGAACAGATGATGGTTTGAAAGGGAATTAAATATTTAGACTATTGCGAAGAAATTCCACTGAGATTATGATGCAAAATATTTCATCACAATAAAACTTTGTGTGCAGGAACATAACTTCTATTGGTAAAACACCTTATACAGTATGTTCACAGTTGGCAGTGTATAGTAACTCCTGGTAAATCATGTCAGTATGGAAAAGGAAGAAAAGGTACTGTTTATGCATCTGCTCTAACATAGTCATTTAAAAAGAATAACTAATGAGCTCCTATTTGGTTTTCAAAATAAAATATTTGACACTCTTAATCAGCTTCTCTTCTGTGTACCAGAGTTCTCTCTAAAATGGAGCTTCCAGTAGCTGCTTACAGGTTCTTTATAGTCACAGATATACCTTCCAGATTTGTGTGTAGATTTCTCTTTTATTTCTGAGACATCAACTGAGGTCTGTTTCTCCCTCCTTTCCTCCATCGGAAATAATGGCACTACATAACTGTGAGAGCCACAGAAATGTACACAGTGGATGCATCAAAACAAGCATCGTTTACTTGTAAAGAAAGCTAAATGTCCGCACACTTAGTTGTGGACAAAACTAGACAAAACTGTTGGGGAGTCAATTACAGCCATTTACAAAGGATGAACTGTTCTACACTCTGAACAGCATTCCTTGTCAATTAGTATGATAGTTACCATACTGCAAAGAAACAGTTGAGTTCCATGACTTAAATGTAAAATGTTTCTCGACATGAGTTCATGAGTCAAGAGTCTTTAATGAATGTGGCAGTGAAATTTCTGAAGACTAAGTGATTCTCTGTTGAGTCCGTTGCAAGGAACTGACAGTGATATGGCTGAGTGCCAAAAAAGCTGCTCCTGGGTCAAGTCCTGTATATAATCCAGTTACAACTTTTAAAACTGGAGAAATGCAGAGGTTTGAGACAGTATCTGTCACAATTTGCAATGGAACCACATTATTTTTACAATCCTAGCAAGGGTGCACAACACCTAGCAAAGGTGCCCCAATGTAAAGCATTGTTTTTTTTTCTTTACTGTAATGTGGTTTAAAAATGGATGGTTTTGCTTTTTGTTTCTTTTAAATTGTGGTCAATAGGTTCTACAAAAATGAAGCACTTCATTTCTCCTGTGAATGGGAGGCCCTGTCTCAACCGTGGGGACTGCAGTCCCCGGAGTGCAATGTGGTTGGTTTTAATTAGATAACGGATTGCCAATTGAAGCTCCTGGATTGGCCAGTGGAATTCAGTCTTTCTGAGGATTCTAGTGAGAGCCTCGATTTATGAGGACACCTTCAACCTCTCCAGCTGTAAGATACACAACTCGTATTGCAGCTGTTTTCCTGGTACCTGCAATAATTTTGTTGCCTTGTGTGTGCAATGAAGCAAAGAATGTTAGGAGGTTTATTACTAACGCGAATTAGTTGGGATGGTGCCTTACTCGCATAGCCCTGAGAAATGTATGCTTAATTACAAAATGACATTCCAATATACTGTACAGTATATAATGTATTGTGTTTTGACATGTTGTTTGACGGCATATGAGCCAAGCAGACAGTTGTCTTTACTGGATGTACAGTATGCAAAGTAGGTAACTGGAATTATGCCCATTGCTGCTCCTTTATGTTCTCTTCTACCATTAAGATTTCAGAAACCATAACAAGCCTTTCAGTGATTTTAGAGATAAAGGTTAAAAAGGGTTATAAATGACAAAGGACAGACATTTTTAACAAGTGAAAAGAGACCAGTTGGCCTTAATGACATAAACAGGTGGGTTTTCCAAGGCTCTATAAACAATTTGTCAATTTTTCAACTGGCTTTTGGCAATATTAATAACTCAAAGCCTTTCAAAGACCATTTTAAGAATAATGTGTGTGTGCAGGAGCTTCATGATTTCAAAGTAGTATAATGATCACTGATATTTATATTCATTACATTTCAATACATACTGTACTGTATATACAGTATAAACATACACATAATGCACAAGCTGCTGTTTCCCTTTTTTGAATGCACCTTAACTATACTCAAGTATACAGTGCTACATTTGTAGAATGTTTTTTTTAATTGTCTGAATAGCATTTGTAATTGCAAACTACATGTACTATATAACCTGCTCTTGTATAAAGGTGTCCTATGAGAGTCTGCAATATGAGAACACACAATAGAATATTTTCATCCTGAGTCAGGCACTCCCTGTATACTATGGTTCATTTGAATTATTTGGAAATACAGTAATTTAAAGCTAGTTGCGCCAGACAGGCTGTAAAACGTTTTCTTTTCCTGTCGGACATGCGGGACAGAGCAATGTTGGAAATGTCTATGGACTCTGTGTTTGTAACATTTGTAAGGTGTTTGTCTTTCCATCCTAAATAATCTGCAATGTGTCTAACATGTCGGTGTACAGGCTCTGAGAAGCAGCCGGTCCGCCACTCTCCCAGTGACCCTCGAAGCAAACTGACACACCAGCTAAAACAGAGCCATCTTGGAAGTGGGAGACTTACAGCATGTCATGTGCTCTAGGGCTTAATTCCAGAATGAGACCTGGAATCCTATTGCATCACATTTGACAGGAAGATGTCGAACAAATGGATTTAATCAAATATTTAAAGAGTTTTAAACAAAAACTTGAAACACTTTAATTAAAGTTAGAACTGAGTATAACCTCCGTGTACTTTAACACAAGCGTAGACAACTCTAGTTGCAGCTGTCTCCTGTTGATGGCTTTAAGATGCTGGTTCCAATCTTTTTCCTCTGGAATCAGGTCTTGAGAAAAACATGACCACAACAAGACCAGGTATTGTATTCTTGAAGCTGTGCCATTGTAATCAAACATTTGCCGACCAGTCTCCAGGAATTAACAAACTTGTTGGCTCAGGGTTTGTCAATGTACCGCCTATTAGCTGACTACCGTCAATTGGAACCAAAAGCATGTTTGTGTTAAAGGAGACTGCACCCCACATCATCAGATTTCCAGCACTACACCAGCTGGCTTGAACACAAGGGTCCGCATAACACTCACAATGATACCGTCTCTTCTCCTTTGTCTTGTGAATAAAACAATCCACCAATCATCTCTACCTCTGCTTTGGATGTCCTCTGGCTTACAGAAGAAGTTAATTTCATGTCTCATTTGTCAGAATGATCTCTGAAATTGCCTCTTAGCAATGCAGGCAATTTTCATGCAGAGACAAAACTACAGTCATTCTGCTGATGTTGGGTTATTGCTTCCTGGAATTTATTCTTTAACCACACAGTCTGAAAATGATTATGCAGATGCGTTAGATGGATGTCCTGACAGTCCTGGGTCACTGTGCTGTCTCTCACAGGGCAGACTTCCTTGTTTCCCTGGTTTCCTAGTCTGTTGATAGTTGAAGCAGAACTCCTTTCATTCTCCACGTAACTTCACTCCTTCAATCATGCTGACAGCAACCAGGCATTCTTCATCACTCAAACATGTCATGGTTTTATCTTTCATCTAAAATCTAAGGGTATTGTACTTTTGCTAATATAGATACATATTTAGGCAAATCATTTAGATAAATTCCTGTTTTCAAATTGTAATTGTAATATACAGAATATACTGTACAATGCTTTGCAAACGTATGTAATACCTTTTATGAAATTACAAAATAACAAAAAAAACGAAGTTACAGTTAATGTCGGCAAAACCTAAAGAGAAAAAAGTGGAATATGTTGATTGCATTTTTGCCCCAGTTTTATAGTCTGAAGCAGGTTTTCCTCTAATATTTGCCAGAGTTTTGCTCCATCTATATTCACATTGGTCTTGACAAGCTTCCCAGTCTCTGCTGATGAGAAACA